GTTCTTTTAGATAAATACTACATATGTACATGCCTGGCAACTTTCATAGAAATTTTTGAAATCAACGATGGTCAAAGTTGAAAAAAAAGAAAAATAGGGGCTTATTAAAATTCAACCGATGAAAACTTCCAACAAGCTAAGTCTAAAAATATATTAGTGCAATTCATCAAAACGCTAAATGCCTCGTAACCATGTAAACCTCGTAAACTAACTTAACTTTTTATGGGAAATCCGTTTATTTACGAGTTTACGCAGTTACGAGGCATTTACGCGTTTCCATTAATACCCATATTGTTACACATCATTTTAAAGGTCCATAAATCCTCTTTTCAAACCATATTCGGTTTTTAAATCGGATGAAAACTAGTGAAGCTGTTTGTAGTTAAGCGCAGAAAGTACGAATATAACAGTTGTTTTTAAATGAAAAAGTAGGGTCCAGAAATTATACGGAACCTATTTTCATGTTGTACTCGACCATAGCTACAACCTGCACTAGGTTTCGTTTCGGGTGTATTTGTTTCAAATATTTAAAATCCATGCATTGGTTTTCGAGATATTTTAATTTAAAATTGTTAGTTTGACTTTTAATAAAAAAAAAAAACACCGCTATGCTCAGCTCAATGATTTCTATCGATTTAATAAACATTTAAAAATAACTTACACTATTTTTATATAATAATTTTTTCGCAGCGCATTTTCGAATATAGGCTTTGATTTTTAATATAAAATTTTGTTCCAAAATAAAAAAAATCATTTTAATTAGGCTATAATAATAATAATAGATTGGCGCTTACACATATGTTAGTGTTTGGCCGAGCTTCTCCTCCGATTTGTGGTGTGCGCCTTGATGTTGTCACACAAAGCGGAGGGACCTACAGTTTTACGCCTACTCCGAACGGCGATTGTATTTTTATGAGAAGCTGTTTTTCATTGCAGTTATACACTCGGAGGTTTGCCATTGCCTGCCTAGGGACGATCGCTGTTAAGAAAAACCTTTTTTCTATATTTTTTGCGATGTTGCTTTGACCAGGCTTTGAACCCAGGTGCTGATGAGTGAAAGCGCGCACTGCTTACCACTAAACCACAGCGGCCAGCGGTGATCAGGCTATAATCACCTAATTAAAGGCAACATCAAATGTTTATATCTTAGCAGAAAAAAGTTAACATCCATAAAATCCATTTCCCGCGCATAACTTGGAAAGAACCGGAATTTCCAGGAGACACGTTTAAAGTTTTAAATTTTTTTTACAAAATGCAGAAAAAAAGAGATGCATATCTTTTTTTTTATGCGAAAACTACACAAGATTTTATAAGACAAAATTTTCCACAATATGAAGCATAATTTTTAATTTATTTTTTGAGTTATGACAGTCTTTCAGTAAATACGCGATATGTACCAGTATGAGTTTCATATATATATTTAACATGTAGTTATTTTTATAATTTTATCCCTGTTGGCTACATATAAGCGAAAGCTCTTTAGAGATTATAATATTGGGCATATAATCATAAAAAAGATTATCCGATTCGAAAGCAGTTGTTTGTTTATAATTGACTTATATTATAATGAATTATTCTACGTTTAGAAACTATGACAGCAATCGACTGAGATATTTTAAATTGTATAGCCTTAATTCTAGAAAGAGCGAAACACAACAATACAATGTTTTTTCGAAAAATGCCAATGGGGTTGCCAGAAAAGGTTTCATATTCATATATACATACAGGGGATGCCAAGATATTGACCAACATTTTTCATCTTGCGCACGGATTTTTTTTTCAGAACATAATGAACCAAATTTTTGCTATTAGAAATAGAAGCATTAAAAAGCGGATTTTCGGCCTACCCAAAATTTTTCTAAAAATTCAGATATAAAATTTAGAAACAAATAGTAATGAATGAAAATACAAAAACATTTTTACTCTACTCCATAAAGAAATATCGATTTTTTTTTTAAATTTTTTCGCAATTTACTCAACATTTGAATGGTGTACGAGTCAAACGGACCTCAGATTCGGTTGAAATACATGTTGGTAGGTGGGTATGGTTAACAGAACACACCCTGCTGGTTTATTATTGCACTTAAAATGTGTACGCAAGAGCAGCAAAGCATTCACAGCAGAGTCTTCTAATCTTGACCTGAAGTAATTACATACAAAACCCTGTTGACGAAAAAAATTTTTCATAAGCCACTTGAAGTTAATGACTCCTATCTCCGCCATTTCAAAATATTTGAACTTCTTTTACCAGCACGTCGAATAAATTATAAGTTTTTCGATTTGAGAAAGTTGGAGTACATTGGTTTAAAAAATTATGTAACTTTTCCTTAACACTTTCTGTTTAATTTATATTAGCGACGCTATACGTATGTACATTCATTAAATATTTTCAAAAAAGGCCCAGGCTACAATTTAAAAGTACAGTTTCAAGCTTTTTGTTAATTGTAGTCAAACCGGCATTTTACTAAAATCATAATCTTAAACAAGTTCTTACTACCAATTCAATATTTCAAAATTTTTCGCGATCTCGGGATTAATGCAAGCAAGGGATTGGCATCCCTAGAACATACATACATATGTATGTATTTATAACCCTTTCAAAACCATATTTACATACATATAAAATAATAGCCCTTTTAATTGTATGTATACTTTGATTTATTAAGAGGTAAAATTTATTTTTTTAATTTTTTATTTTTTTATTTTTGTGACTTTTTTCTAAAAGTTAATATTAAAGTTAAGGGTGTCATTTATTTATCAAATCCAAATAAAATAAAGCAAGGAATAGGTCAGTCTTAAGTCACCGAAAGCGTTCTGATATTCTCGTCTACTACATCGGCTAAAGAGTTAATGACTTTTATTGTTTTTGAACTCCCAGGTGTCATTGCAGTAAATTTATCGTCGTATCGATCAGTTTACCTGTTTAGCATCCGAATTTCGCATAAATTTCCACTGACTTGAAGTAAAAATTCAAAAAGATTATCAACATCTTAGCCCGAACACAATGAAAACGACGAGCTACAAACCACAGCTGTCAAATTATTTTAACACGTACTCTTATGTAGATAATTATTTTGGCGACGACCGGGCTACGCGACGGCTGTGGTTGTGGCCAGATTAGATTTATTTCTATTTTTCTGGCGACAGATAAGGTTATTCCTCTTCTTTTATGTCAAACTTATACAAATTCATGATGTCGCTGCCGAGTTCAAAGAAATCATGTCGCCATCGACAAAGCGTTTAGATAATGAAGATAACAAATTGGAAGCTGTGGTCTGTAGCTCGTCGTTTTCAATGTGTTCAGAACTTCTTTCAACCCTCTTTCGATTCCATGGCTTTGCTTTCAGGTTCATTAACTTACATTGCGCCGTACGGCTGCAATGACAACCGCTCCGAGCAATTTCATCAAGCGAAGATAGTTGCAAGATCGCATTTAGGGTGTGTGAAGGCGTGAGGCAAAGGTGCGCTTACACAATTTTTCGCTCTTTGTATGCATACTTAACCCCGTCCTTCATTTAACCATCTGAAAAGTAAATTCGTATAACATACAGGTAGGGCCAACGCAGCCCAGAAGTATAAGGTTTCTAAATATTTAGACTGCAGCGCCATCTATTGGGCCCATTTTTTTGCAAAATCATTGGTTATCATCAGAAGAATAGACCTTATGAATTTCAACCATTACCTTCAGCGCCACCTAGCAGGTCCACTTTTCATAACACACGTCATTTAGGCACCCATGCTAAAAAAAAATTAACAGTAAAAAATCTGCAATGACGCTTCTTAAGTAAACTTGAATTCAAGCGGGAGCTGCGCTAATTATTTCAATTAAATGAAAAAGCTTACAACGCAAAGCAAATACAAAACAAAAGATTGTGTGAGTAATAAAGCAACGTAATAAAGATATTGCCGGCAAGAATTAAAAAAAAAATACTTTAACAAAAAAGTTACAATAAACAACGCACATTAGGATGCCTCACGAAAAAAGTTGCTACTTCCCTATAAATGACAAAATTAGGTAATTTGTTTTATTGAAATCCTCTTCCATTAAAGCTATTAGATAATAGATGAATGTAAACTTCAGAGATAACATTTCTATAAAATCTTTCGCCATATTCAAATAATAACATTTTTGTTGTGATTGTTGGCAGCCTTCAAATGCTGTTTTAATATAAACTTTAATAGCTCAGCCATATTTGAATCGATTTTACTCTTTAAGGTGCCATAGAATAATGTATTTCCCTCCACCTTAAGTTTTGTCTCTCTTTGAAACATCTTGTTTATTTTTGATCTGGAAAATGTTTGCGCTCTTTTCTTGAAAGTAAACATACGTTATAGACGAAGACAAAGATAAAGGCACATTTAATAAAGATAATGATAAATATAAGGTTGAGAATAAAAACAAAGAAAAAAGATAAACATAAAAATAAAGAAATGGATAGAGACAAAGATAGAAATATAGAGAGGGATATAGATTAAGAGAAGAAGATAAAGATAAAACTGAAGATTAAGATAAGTTTTCATTTAAAGTTGCCCACCTCGCTTCACCTTAACTCACCTATCTTCAATTCACTTCACTTCAACTCACCATAACTCAACTCACCTGAACTGAACTCAACTCATCTCAGTTCAATTCAATTCAACTCACCTTATCTTAGCTCAGCGGAGCAAATCACAAATAAATTTTATTTATGAAACGATCAGCGAATAAAATCACAAATAAAATTAATTTCGAGATTTCTGAGTTGATCAATTTAAAATTACTCAACCTATGAAAAAAAACGCGATTTATTAGACAGCGCACTCTAATGTGTATAAGCATATATGTAAGTATTCACATGATTTAAGTTAATTGGCAGTAGATGCAAGAGATTGTTTTTTCAGAGTGATTTATTAAGCACTTACTTGCAAATATATATGTTTGTATGTAAGAAAATAATTTCATACACATATTCTAAAAATAATAACTTTTGCAAGCGTACTTTGAGCTGTGCTGGACTGGAGTTTGTAATTTTTCGGTTATATTTTATCTGTGAACATTATATTGAGTGACGAACAATGTAAGTTTGCGAAATAATATTTATATATTTACCTATTTAAGTATGCCTATATGTGTATACATAAATGCATACATATAAGCCCTGTTGCAGAAAACTTTACATGAACGCCCCATTTCCGAATTTGTTTGAATAATGTCCTATCTCAGAATTTGATTGAAGAATGTCCTATCTCAGTTGCCGATTAAAAAAGGCACAATCTTAACACACACATTTTCAATATATTTTCAGACGAGTTAGGACGTTTTTCAACCAAATTCTGAGGTAGGGCGTTATTGAAAAGTTTTCTGAGACGTTTTCGAACCGAGATAGGTCGATATTCCACTCAGCCGTCAGTGCATACTTATCGTAGTACATATTTCAATAACAATTTATTACATATGCATAATTCAATATTCAGTAATTACGACTAATGAACACATTATTGCATTTTTTCTATTTAGCATGGATTCAAATGGCACATTTTCCAGAAATGATGATCAGAACGGTGAGCCTATGGCTAGTTCATCTACTACACCGCCGCAAAATAGCACAACGCGACGCGCGCAACCTTTCGTTATACCAAATGAGGGCACTTATCTAAAACCTGCAGCGAAACAGGCCTACTTCAGTGATGAAAAGGTGCTCATTCCACAAGTAGATGAGGTAAGCATGGAGTCCATTTTTAACCACAACTAGTTTGAATATTTTTTTTTCGAAGTGTATATGGGCAATTTCAATTAGTTGGAACTTTCGCATAACTCGCCAGTTTTTATTCGGACACATAATTTTCGCTAGTTTATTAACAAAAATCAGGTTACATATGTTGTGTAGATTATGTAAAGGCAAAAAAAAGGACCTCCGTACATATATTTGTGAAAATTTTCCAATTTTATTTCTGAATTATATGCATATTTGGCTAAATATGCATATAATTCAGAAATAAAATTGGAAAATTTTCACAAATACAAGTAATTTTTAGCAAAAAAAGCCGACTTCAGTTCTCATATAAAAAAAAATATATATATATCTCATGATCCACTGATCGGATCTTAACCAGATTAGTATGGGACCACCTATGAGAGACTACCTTTCCGATGCAAAAACAATTGGTTGACGTGGTCCAAAGTTATGCGTAAACATACATAAAAAAAAAATATTCCGACGACCTGATAACCTCCTTCTTTTTTGGAAGTCGGTTAAATAGAGTAACTCTCCTATCATTTTTATTTTTAGTTTCATGTTGCAAAATTTGGTGCGTTGATTGCTCATGTTTGAGTTCATAATTAACTGGTAGTATTTGGAGAGGAGAATCGAATTTAGCCCGTTAGAAGTATGTGCTTGTAATAGAAAAGAAGTTATGAAGAGTCAAAGTGGCTACTTTTTTTAAATTCTGACACTCGCGGTTTTTATAGTATACTGTAGCTGGTGCGTACCTAAAACTGTTATCGGACAACTTTTATAGTTTTCTGAAGCATAAAAGGAATCAATCTAGATGTGGTAGGCTTATGTGCTCTCATTAGAAGACAGCTAAAAAAAACAACTTCTTGAAAATGCATATTTTTTTTTATCAGCACAGCATCTGCAATTGGAAAATTTAGCTAAATAAGCCAGAAATACAATAACGTAGTGGCACTGGCAGCAGAAGTTTTTCGAAATCAGCTGTTTTTTAGAAAGTGTGGTTTCCAATGAAGCGACTCACAATACAGCAGTGACAGCTGGCAGTACTGCTCAGTTTAGCCCAGATTCTAAATTCACTGCCACTGCCTTCATCGCAGCAAACTTCGCATGTTNACCGAAATAATGCATGCATGCACAGTTTCGGTTGAAAACCGAAATAATGCATATGAAAAACCCGAAGTAATGCATACATGCACAGTTTCGGTGCCCCTGGTCAATTATATTTACGAAAAGGTATAAATCTTCGTTTATTTGGGAACCAGTATTAACACCGATAATAATGTCAGCATCGAAATTCAATGCAGAATCACTCTTGCCAACAAATGCTGCTTTGGACTGAGTATGGGATTAAGGAGTAAAGTCCTCTCTCGATGTACGAAAGGCACACTCTAAAAGTCACTCATTATGCTCAAACTGGCCCTTGGAGTGTTCGAAAGAAAGATTCTGCAAGAGATTTACGGGCCTTTGCGCGTTGGCGACGGCGAATACCATTGACACTAGAAGGAGCTTTACACTAATATAGACATAGTCTAGCGAATTACCATAGAGCGGCTGTGCTGGCTCGGTCATGTCGTACAAATGGACATAAACGCTTCAGCTCTGAAAATTTTCAACTCGAACCCGCTGATGATAGTATAGGGAGAAGAAGGGAAGTGACGAAGGACTTGGCAAGTGATTGAGCAGTTGGCTAGCTTTATTGGAATCTGTCAAAATCGCTTAGACAGTTACGAAGAAGAACGAGTTTACTCTGAATGCGGACACTTGAGTACTACTGCCTTTCGATATTAGCTGCGTAGTAGCTAAATAAATTATGAAAATAAAAATGTCTTAATTTTTGTTTACTATTTCTATCCAATAAGTGTTTATTCCGTCCAATGCCATATCGAATATTCGTCAGTGTTTCATTTGTGGTTGGGGAGCCAATATTGTTAAATAGAAACCGCAGAACAATTCGATGATTCTGTCAAGTGATGCTTACATTCGTATACCCACACCCCGTGCCATAATTATAACCACACCATATATTGACAAGTTTTAACAATTTATCTGTTTGTTATTTAATTTTAGTTATTTTTTATTAAAAACATAGTTTATTTTTTAACAAAGACCGAATACATCCAAGTTTCAAACTATGTGTAACATTTAGAAAAATTCAGTAAACTTTTGTAAAAATTGATTGCACTTTATTGTATTAAAATTGAGTGGGCTACAAAACTGCATGCTCAGAATCTTTCTAAGAAACCTAATTAAAAAGCTCGACATTTTTACGAAAGTTTGCTGTTTTTCTTAATATTGCACAAATATTGAAACGTTGATTTATTCGGTCTTTGTTAAAGAATAAACTATATTTTTATAAAAAATAACTAAAAATAAATAACAAAAAATTAAGTTGTTAAAACTTGTCAATGTGTAGAGCGCTTATAATTATGACACGGGGTGTATTACATGTATGTTTGTTTATACATATATGATACAATGAGGTGCATGTAATTTGTCCGCATGTTAAGTTCAAAAACTTGAACTTGAGAGTGAAAAGCAACGTGTATTGGGAATTGATATCTATGCAAATACATAGTACATACATATACATATGCACATACAATATTGCCAATACCGCACGTGCATTTATTTCTGTATGTATGTACATTTAAATTTTTTTTTATTGGTTGACACAGTTTCCACAAAGTAATTGAGCATATTAAGGGTTTTACGAAAATCTATAGATTTGAAATATCATTTCAGGCTGAATATGACTCACACTACCACGTAGTACGTACTGGCGTAAGATTGTATGCAATTTATATTTAATTGATATTACTGCAATGCAAACAATACCGCCTAAAGATTTTTATACGTAGAGAAATACTTACAATTGTATATGCACAAATGCATACATGGCCGCTTCCAGCCTAAAAGGTTTTTTATCCATAGAAGAATAGCAGGTTCTACGTTGTTTGCTTGAAGACTACCTAGAATGGTCCTTCCACGATTGCTTCTTGGATCTTTTTTGTAGCTTTTTAAGAGATCTTTGTACTCCTCCCATCAAAACTCATTGTCGGCTGCCTTACACAGCTTGAAGGGCTCACGTACTTCGCGCCTGTGCTGTCGAAGTTCCCGGTTGAACCACAGGGGCTTGGATTTGCGTATAGTACGCACTGGAGGGCATGAAATTTTGTTTGCTTTGCTGAGCGCCGTAGTGATTAACACCACGTTCTTTTCGATTTCTGCGTGCGTGTTGAGTTCTTTTAGATCAATCTTTCTATAGAGATCCCAGTTTGTAATTCTTGGTTTCCTCGGGGTTGTTATTTTGGGATTTGGGGGAAAAGCAATATTAAATTCTATGTATTTATGATCACAGAATGATGGTTAATCTAAAAACGTCCAATTATCTACCCGTATCAGTTTATTTGTTAAAAGTGTTATATCTAGAACGTTCTTTGAGGTGGGTCCAACATATGTTGGCTCAATACCTCGGTTTGTTACCTCTAGACTTATTTGAATAATAAAATTGAGTAGAGACTCACTTCTTTTATTGATGTCCGCGCTCCCCTAAACAGTGTGATGAAAATAAACATTAACATATCACAAATAATTGCTGTCAAAGATCTGCATCACTCTTGAATCGCCCTATATGTATGTATGTATATACAATACAATATAAATGCATAAGGCTCATATATACATATGTACATATTATTATTTTATGTAATTTTTTAATGCATTGCGTATTTTCAATCACTTTTCGTTTTGCATGCACACACAGGCTGGCTTCAGTTTTCGCAAATTATGGGCATTCACTGGTCCTGGGTTTCTCATGTCTATAGCCTATCTCGATCCGGGTAACATAGAATCGGATTTACAAAGTGGCGCCGCAGCAAAATATAAAATCTTATGGGTGCTTTTATGGGCTACAGTGTTGGGTTTGCTGATGCAGCGCTTAGCGGCGAGGTAAGTAAACGAAATTAAATAAAAAAGTATGTTAATTTTATTACTACTAAAGTGTATAGGATTTATTTGTTTGTATTTTATTAATAAACTTAATTTAATATATTTTTAATACTTTTTCATGCACTGCTAAATAGATTGGGTGTTGTGACGGGTCTGCATTTGGCGGAGATGTGCTATCGGCAGTATAGGAAATTTCCCCGTATTATACTATGGATAATGATTGAAATAGCCATTATCGGTTCGGATATGCAGGAAGTGATTGGCACAGCCATAGCCATATATCTGCTGTCGAATAAAATGTAAGTACCCGTTCAAAAAGCATTGTACGATTTGTAAATATTTATTTATACATATTTAGCACTTTATTATTTCCTTTGTTTTTGAAATGACAAACAATGTCTTAATCGCTTTGTGCTGTAGAAAATTCCCCATACACATAGCTCAACTGATTGCAAGTACATACATAAGTGGATAGATTCGTATTTTTACATACAATGTTTCGTTTTTCTTTCTTCCAATTCAGCGTACCGCTATGGGGTGGAGTGTTAATAACAATTGTTGATACGTTTACGTTTTTATTTTTGGATAAATATGGTTTAAGAAAACTGGAATTTCTCTTCGGTTTTCTGATCACTGTGATGGCGGTTACTTTTGGTTATGAGGTAAGTGCAATAACCGTAAGTCGATAGAATCTAACATAAATAATCTGTTTAATTAAACTAACTTATATTTTAGATAATTGCATTAAGCTTGTGTCCATTTTGTTTGATTTTTTATTTATTGGAAAAACGACATACGACTAATTTGCAAGGGTAGAAGTTATAGCTACTATTTCGGAGATCAACCTATTTCCTCACCAAACTTCTTCTGCATGAGGTCCTCTGAAGTTTACACCAATTTTAGACTAAAAACTAAACTAAACATAGTTCTGATATCATTTTCGCGCATGCACGATACCCTTAATTTCTTCAAATGGCCACTCAAATCGCCTCTTCCACAGCTTCTAACTCTTTTGTTCGACCCCCTTGAAACAGTTCATTTCCTAGGCTTGTTAAATCAGTTGAAGCATAATCTTCTCTTGACTCGAAAATCTGTGTAGGAGTTAATATGGGACAGAACTCACAAAAATCCCAAAAATTGTTCAAACGTTTATTCTGAAATTAGTACTATTTCGGAAATTCGGCATACATTCTGAAAGTTACCCTGCGGGAATTAGAAACATATCGCAGACGTTCTTCAAAGGCACTTTAACTCTCTTTCTAAGCTTGTTTGCATAAGTTTGAGCAAGATATTGCTTCAAGGATGGAAAACATATATGATCTGTGTAAATTTTTAGAGCATAATATCAAAAATGATAAATTTTTAATTAAACAAAAGACTTCGAAGAATATCTGCGATGTCTGTTTTGAATTGAGAATCTTATCATTTTGCTGAAAACAAGATTTTCATTCGTTTTCTTCTTCGACAATTGTTCATAATTGTTCACGAAAACATTATACCGAGTTTATATGGGCTGCGTTTCTTTATACATTCCGGATAATCCCATTTCACAGTCGGAATAAACAGAATGCGTTTGAAATATACGTTAACATATCACCAGGAGCATTCTAAAGAATAAGTAAACAAAAAAGTTTATTCCAAACGTTCAGAATGAATAAAGAAATTCAGCCATGATATTTGTAAGCATAAAATAAATACTTATATATGTTAGGGTGCTTGACTCCAAAAAAACAAAAAAATCGGTACTGTTTTTCCTTCGGAATCATAACTCAAATTATAATTTGAGACCTCAGCCAAAACATTTCAAAAAATATTAAGTTGCACGTGATCTAAACCGGATGGAAAATTTCTTTCAAGAATAAGTTCTTTTATAAATAAAATTAGTTTTGAATAATATTTTTTCCAAAAAATCACTTATATGATAGAAGAGTTTAAGCTTAGAAGGTCTGAAATGAAATTTTTGGAGTAGATATTTTCAAATTAGTCCAGCTCACGTAAATCTTAATACTTTTTCGAAATAATTTGGCTTAAGTCTTAATAAATAATAAATTTTATAATTCTGGTGGAAAAACTGTAAATTTTTTGGTGAATGGGCTACAAAATCGCATACTCAAAATCTTTCTAATACCGAATTTCCACTAGGCATTGAAATGACACAAAATTAACGCCATCAAAAAAAAAAATCCCATGTGGAAATGAACTTAATGAAAGATTTTTGAATGTAATCACACCATTATTTTTAAATGCCTGACTTTGTCATTTGTCATTTTTGCCATTTAATGCCTAGTGGAAATCCAGCATAAGAAATCGAATTAAAAAACTTGAAATTTGTACCAAAGCTGGTTGAATTTTTTTAATATTGCACAAATTTTGAAAGCTGCATTTAAAAGGTTTTTGTTAAAGAACACACTATATCCTTATAATTAAATTTTGTTTTATTTTTTCTTTTTAACTCAGTTTTCAAAAACAATGCACTAGAGAATAATAATTTTTGGCCAGATAACTTGATAAACAGGCAGGTGTGAATATCCCAAATATCGGAAAAAATTAATAAGTTTTCATAAGCCCGGACTATTTCTAAGAAATGGAAATAAAAAAATGAAATTTTTGCCAAAATTTTTATTATTATTTTTTGTTAAATATGGCACAAAGGTAAAAAACGCGGTCTTTGTTAAGAAATAAACTACATTTTTATAAAAAAATAGTTAAAATTTAATAACAAAAACCAAATTTGTTAAAACTTGTCATTTTGTGGTGCACTTATAATTTTGCCGCGGAGTGTACTATATATATCATATGAAAATTAATTTTATTAACGATTAAGTTAAAAATTAATACAATATTTGTAAAAAATAAATAATTTTTGATAACTTCAAAATCTTACCAACATCGAATAAAAAGGCTTGAGACGTTTGCCAAAATTTACTGATTTTTTCCTAATTATGCGCAGAGTTTGAAACTTGGATTTACGCAGCTTTTATTAAAGAATATTTAAACCATGAAGTTTATCTACTTTATAAAATTTAAACTTCCAGAGCAACTCAAATGCTCAAATGTTTTAGGGCACAATAGATCTCTTGGTCGCAGTGCATACCTCTATTAATTATCAATCAAACTCAAATGCTAAATAAAGGTGAAACAAAAAATAAATAGATGAAAATATAATTTTATTTTTTATTTGGGACTGAAAGCTAGAATTTAAGTGAGAGATTGAAAATTTTGAAACATTTTTGTTATATTGGCAAACTTCAAAAATTTTCAGGCTGCCTCTTAGCGGGTTTACCTTTAAATTTTTGTATCATGGAATAAACAATATTTAAAAAAAAAAAATTTATAAAAAAAAAAGAAAAAAAAATAAGTTTAATCGAAAAAATTAAAAAAAAAATTGTACATTTATTTTCGCTCCAGTATCACTCCCAAAACGTCTGGAATTTGTATGCTACACCAAAAAGACGGGGCAGTGTAGTTGGCAATCCTGCTTAAGAATATTTTTAGATAAGCAAAGAATACTTTTTGTATTAACGTAGTTATGCAAGTAATAAAAATAATTTCGTTTCATTTCAATTAAACAGTTTATAACAAACAATTATTTAAGGAGATGACTAAGTTTGTTTACAAATTATATTTCAAAACGGATTACGTTAATTTATTTGGTTTCATTTTACTTTCATTTAAATTAATTAAATTTAATTTTATTTTTTAAAAAAAATTTTGCTGTATCGCTAAAAAACAAACTGCTTAGACATATGTATTTACTCCCATAATTCTACAACACGTACTTAGAAACAATCACACAAACATACATATATACATGTCTATATGCAACTTATTATGCAAATTTCTATTGAGGCGCGTGCGACCGTAACTACTTCGAATGTAGCTCGCCATCAACACGTTTTCCTCAGCTCAAACGATCTCAATATAAAAATTACCCCTTTTAATAATAACTTCCGTTTGCACAGCTTTGCCAATGTTTTTTCAAGCTATTTTGGCTTTGTTTTTGTTTACATACATTCATACACACTTTCATACATTATTATACCCAGTGGGAAAAGTAGTGCATAATGCATTACATGCTTGATAAATAATTAATGTATTTCTTATGAGTTCTAGATTCTATTACTATTTAATATGCAATCAGTATTCTAGTGTATCCAAACATCATTCCTGCATTACTGGTATTACAAAACTGAAAGCCCCACTTTTCTTAGAACATCGCTGTGGGAAAACTAATGCATTTTCGAATGTGAAAACGGCTGTTTAACTTATGATTTTTTCGATTACCATACAATACATTTTCCCACTGGGTGTGTATGTATGTATTTTCATATGTACTAAGTAGGTGTGAACTAAAAATGTGCTTATTTTTTTATGTTTAATTGTATTTGTATGGGGTTTAACGACTTTGCCGTTTTCTACACATGATTTTAGTTATTTAAAAAATTTAGCTAAGGTTTATGTTCATAGGCTGTTAATAAATGTATGTATGTATGTAGACTTTGGTACAAATATGTTGATAAGAATTTTATTTCATAATTTTTGCATTTGTATAATAATTCTAACTTGAAGATTTCCGAAAGTACATACTAATTAAAACATGTACGGTGTCATTATTGACATGAAATATATACGAAACTTTTTTCTAGCGCAGCTGGCAGTTACGATAGGTATACGGTTCATGATTTTGTGAGTAGTGTGCATTTCATATTTTTCCCTAATTTATTGCGTCGGGTTTTGTATTCTGTTTTTACTTCTAACTGATCTTAACATCCATAGCTTTTTAAAAAATTTGTGGGCAATTCCATTGTGACTGTTAGGACACTTGACTCTAGAATGTGATGAATTGTGAATTATAACTATGTCGACGAAACGTATAAACCACTGAATTATATCTTTTAACATAGATAAATAACTAACATGTAAAATGCCTTCCAAAAAATACCAAACAATTTCTAAGTTCCTTATAACTATTATTTGATTTGTCGTTGTCCTCTTTTACATGGAATGACCCATGTCTAAATAAAAATGTTTTAAAAGAACAACTTTATTCGAAATAAAAATTTCTGCTTCATGTTTGCCAGTTTTTATTATAACAAAGATATGCTTTTCTGAAAATTTCCTAAATTCAAACTTGTTCTTCCAATATTTTATATTTACCACTTTTTCAACGTAAGTGACGTCTTTATCTGTTTATCTGCTAATTATATTTGAGTTTTTATAAAGTACTTATGTACGTATTCGTCAAACTTTCTTGATGGTGATAATGGAAAGTTTTGGAAGCTAACTGTAAAAAACACTGCCTTACATATCAGGAACGATGTTAAATTTAGTATGCCTGTTCTTCAGTGCAAATTTAACAAGAAACTATAAATGTCGCCGAGTAAGTTATTACAAATTCACACTCATAAATTTTCACTCATTAGATCTCCTATCAGCCTCCCACATGTACGGGAACTTTTCTCCATATAAATTCTTATCAGTTGCCGCCCCATTTGACATGCATGCATTCAAATAAGCAAGTCAAGTATTAAATGCATACATACATACATACATATATATGTACATACATATACATATGTACATATATATGTCGTTATATGAAAGTTAATATCTCCTCGTGTTGGAAAGGCTTGTAAGTGAATATGGGCGATTCCAGCGAAAAGTCTACCGCGAAAAAAATAAAGTAAAAGTCCTATATCCAACTTATTCATAGGTCGATTTGGCTGCGTTTTATAATTATAAATTTTGTCCGCCTTCATTTGGCGATTGTACCAAACCGATTTCAAAACCAAGAACACCATTGGAAAGGTATTTTTCTGTAGATGAGGAAGGTTTTTATAGTTTCAAAATTGGCCAAAATCGTGGTTTAAAAATCTCCGTATTTGTGTATAGTTGTTGTTGGAACTAGTTTAATTTGAGTTGTTTTCGTATTTGAAATTTTAAAATTGAGAAGTACATAAGAATTAGGGTAACTGAAAGGGTAAGAAGATTTAATGAAATTTTTCCATAGGAATCGAATCAAATTCTGATATAAACAAGTAAGAATGTCTAAGTTCGGGCAGAACCGAACATTAAATACCCGGCGCCAGTATTTAATATATGATTTTCACCTTTCCGAAAGCTACCGCTACATGGTAAGCCGGGGCGTATCAATTTTGAGTAAATTAGAGTCCTTAAATTTCGAAATTTTGAAGTTTCAAGCAGTTCTGAAATTTACCGTTATATGAAAAGCGGCCTCAATTTTAGTCCGACAAATTTTTTTTTTTACTTTTATTTCAACATATTTGGATTAAAAAAAAAATACCGTTAAAAATAAAATATTTCACACAAACAACAAAAAATATAATAGATAATCCCATGAGGCTATTGCCTGAAAATTTTAAAATGCACTTAGTGGCATTGTGCTACTATGATAGCACGGCCGAGTAATCATAGTCAACTTATGTATAGTAGACTGCATCTCCCCATACAAAAAAAAATCGGTACTATTTTTCACTGGAATTATAAAATCTATTATATTTTAAGATTTCCGCCAAAATATTTCGCAAAAATACTAAGATTTACGTTAGGTGGACGGATTTGAAACTACCTCCAAAAATTGAGTTTTTTATTAATAAAAACAGTTTTTTTAAATATTTTTTGAAAAAATTACCTCAGATGACTAAACAGTTTAAGCTTAAAAAGTTTGCATAAGACTATTAAAAAAATTCTTTTCTATAATTGTTTCCTTATAGAATGGTTGGTTTCTTTTCCATCATCTATTAAAAAACAAACTTACGGGGCAATGTTTATTGTAAGAACAAAATTTTTTTCTATAAATCGACATACTTTAAGCATTGTTGACGTTATTTCCATTTGAATGAGGAAATAGCGTCAATGGCTTTATACCCAAATTTTTGTTGACTTTATTTCGCTTTTGAAAAGGTAATAATGTCAATTGACTTTATTTCGTATCAGGGTGGGAAATATAGTCAATTGACCTTATTTCCGTTGATCTTGTTACCTGTCACCGAAAAATATTACACTTGTAGTATAGAAGCAATTTGAAGTAAAAAAAAAACGATTTGGGTCACAAAATTGCCCAAAGAAAGCTTTAAGTTAAAGTTAAATTAACATTGGGAAGCGAACTGAATTCTAGTATGGCGGTGTATTTGAGAGCACACTAACTGAATATCAAAACAAATAGTTTCAAGGATACATCTAAAATAGTCTATTTGCATTAATTATGATGATGTGCACCTATGCATGCCGCTCAGATTTACAATGTCAATCAAGCAAAGTATCTTCAACTCTAAAATTTGTAGTCTTACTTTGTTTTTAATTTTTTATCTTGACATTAGACAGTGTAGTTCGCAAATACATATGTATTTATGTACATAAATACATACTTCCATACATATGTGCATACATACATAGGTGGAGTAGTTAATTTACAATGCCCAAGATAAAAACGTTGACTTTCGTGAAATGAATTTCCTGGCAGAAATGATAAAATATTTTTACAACACCAGCATTTACATACATACATATGTATGTTTGTGCATACACGCATTCTTATCAATAGCAAACAGTAGACAGAAAAAATATGTAAATCAATCTCCTTGAATGTGTAGATTAGAGCGTTTTACAATGTCTTGTCCAAAAAAAAGTTCAATTTGCTCCAAGCCATTTGAACACTCACTAGTGTATTTCAAGAAAGTAAAAAAAAAATTGCCATCCTGTAAAAACAGCTAAATCGTTTTGTGAGATGTCCGATTTATATAAATTATACATCTAGTAAAAGGTATTGTAATCAGAATAAATATTTTATGGATATAAGTTTTATGTGTCGTTCTAGTTCAGTACATTAGGGTGTTCCAACATTTTTTTCTAGCTACCCCCCATGCTTCTCAAAAAAATACAATCGCCGGAGTAGGGGTAAAACTGTAGGTCCTTCCTCTTTGTTTGACAACATCAAGGCCACAAATTGGAGGAGAAGCTCGGCAAAACACTAACTTATGTGTAAGCTCCAATCTATTATTATTATGTATTATTGTTTACTTTATAACGTTATTTAAAAATTTAAATTTTTGATATTATTCGCTAAAAGAAAACAGGGATAACCGTTACGTCCCATTTTAATAAAAATTATAATTTAACTGTTAAAATTAGATTTATATTTTTCCAATCAAATTTAACCGTTGTTTTAGGATTTTTGTTTTTATTTTCAGCAATAATAATCATGTTTTTGGGTTTTTATTTTTTCGATAAAGTTTTGACCGTTATTTTTGACTTTTGTTGTTTCGATGATCCCATAACCGTTATTTTTAGGTCTATTTTTAGATCACTATTGATTGAAAACGGTCTCCGTTATAGCGAATATTTTCGATCGAAAAAAATTAAAATTTATAAAAATATATATTATATATATTATTTATTTAAGCGGGGAATACTGCAGTTTTTCGTATTTTCTGATAAATGAAAATTATTTTGTGAAGTGAGCAAATTACGAAATTTAAACCAAATCGGGTAATAAATACAAATTTTCAAAATATCTCGGCCTTAGCGACCCCGACCGGGACTAAAAAACATTAAGTTTTTATTTAAGCACCCAACAATCCACCGAAGCTTCATCGCAATCGTAAGAAATGCTATGGCTTCCACGAGGAACAATAGTCAATGTAATGGAGGAACCTACTACGGCGAATGATTTTAAGTGAAACTTTTTCATGGCAGTAATACATTTGGAGGTTTGCCGTTGTCTTTTCTAATTTAGATGTCACTCGTACCAGACATCGTGCCCAGATCCAACGGAGTGGTAGTACGTGCCTCTAACCACTCAGGCACAGCGACCATTTATATAAGTGTAATTTTTTTCCTTCATAGAAATACATGTTTAGAAAAAACTGCATTCAAACTTTTCTTATGAAATCACAAATTAAAAAGTGGTCCCTTTAGACCCCTTGATAGTTAAGGGTTAAGGTTTTTTTTTGCAAAAATGAGAGAATAAGATCAATGGAAATAAGGTCAATTGACTTTATTTCCCACCCTGGTGCCAAATAAAGTCAATTGACATTATTACCTTTTCATAAGCGAAATAAAATCCATGGACATTATTACTTTCGCCCCGCGTACCCCGTGCGAAGAACATAGTCTAGACTCTCTAGACTTTCGCTGAAACCATCGTAGTCCGATTTTCGTAAAATGCTCGAAAATGCGATCATTGAATCTGAATTGCTACGAACGTATGCACTCAAAGTGTATGCTTCATAGATTTTACGAAAATTAGGACTGCGACGGATTCAGTGATAGCCCTGAGTACCGAAATTTAAGAAAACGAAAAGTCCGTTAAAAAAGTTTAGACAGTCAACACATGAAAACTGAAATCTAGGTCGCCATTCAAAACAAAGTACTCTTTCAACTTAGATTCGTCTACTTAGCTTTAACGTATTGACTGTTTAAACTCTATGATTCGCCATTTTGGTTTAGACGCCATTTTGGATTAGGAATAGGGTTTTCTAAAATAGAATATGCTCTTCTTGTCAAGATTTTTCATTTGCTACCCATATTTATTATTTCAATAAAAATATTAAAATAAATTAAATTTAATTATTTATGTTTTATTTTATATTGACTTATTTTCAATCTTTGTTGCTTCGCTTTTTATTTTATTTTGCCTTAGTTTATTATATATTATCCTGTTTTATTTTCATATTTTTTTGTTTTACTTTATTTAATCATTTATGGTTTTTTCTCTTTTCATATCTTGTATTGCTTTGTTTATTAAATTAAATACAACCTTTTTCGAATAAGAAACCCTTTGTTTTCTATTGGGATTCTTCTAGTACATCGTCTCAGCGCCCAGTCAATCTGAGGTTATGATAGGTATGTTTGTGCCATGGTGTAAGGATTGCAATGCCAATGTCCTACTGCAGGCGGTAGGCATTGTCGGTGCTGTGATAATGCCCCACAATCTATACCTGCATTCGGCCTTAGTCAAAGTAAGTTCTACTTACCTTAAATTTTTCTACGTATGTATATTCATAATCTCTTTACAGTCACGTGATATCGATCGCCGTCAACCGAAAAGAGTGAGCGAGGCGAATTTCTACTTCTTCATTGAGGCGTCAGTCGCGCTGTTTGTATCCTTTATTATAAATCTTTTTGTTGTGGCGGTCTTTGCCCATGGCATGTATGGTAAAACCAATCAGGACGTGGTATGTAATTAAGCAACTTGTTTTTTTTTTAATGCTTTCTCAACAAAAATATTTATCTTCAAATTCACACTTTCTTTGTCATTTTCCTCATATTTAGCTTGATGTCTGCGTTAATCAAAGCATGTACGAGGATGCGAAAGCTTCGTTTGCGGATAATAATAATAACACAGATCTCATTGATGCTGATATCTACAAAGGTGGCCTATTCTTGGGTTGCACTTTCGGCGCAGTGGCAATGTATATTTGGGGTGTTGGCATTTTGGCGGCAGGTCAGAGTTCCACCATGACTGGCACATATGCGGGACAGTTTTCAATGGAAGGGTTCTTGAATCTGCAATGGCCACGTTGGCGACGTGTACTTTTTACGAGGCTAATTGCAATTATACCCACTTTCTGTTTGGCATTCTTCACTCGCATGGAGGACTTGACACATCTCAATGATATACTGAACGCTGTGATGTCGTTGCAATTGCCTTTTGCTGCTATACCAACGATAGCATTCACCTCATGTGCGGCCATAATGGGTGAATTTGTGAATGGAATGTAAGTAAGGCAATGGTAGTGTGGAATATTTCAAAGTGTGAAAACATTGTTTGGTTAAGACAGAATCACAAAAAAATCGATGTTAGGTTGTTTTTACCACACTAGGTGCTTTATGGTTGGAACATGAACCTAAAGTCCGTTTTGTTCCATCAGGTGAGGATTGTGTCTAACCTCAAAAAACCTAGCGGACTTTACTTTAATCGTAGTATTAAGAGGTTTTTTTGGGACGCTTCTAACGAATATGAAGTCGTAGAATTTTTAAGTGGAGAAATGGCGGATCTAATATGCTTTAAATTTTTTAAACTGTTGGTTTTCGATTTCAAAAATCTCAAATTCCATAATCAGAAATCTTAAATTGTATATAGGTACCAAATTTGGATCCGCCATTTTGAATTTTAAAATCTGATTTCATATTCGTATTCAGCGACCCCAAAAACTTCAATTTACCGAGTTTTATACAATGCAAATATGTAATTTCTTAAAATTCTGTCGCAAAATTGGATGCGTCATTATCCCTAAATACCAAGATTAAAGTGAATCCGTCAATATTTTTTTATAATGTGGCATGTCACATAAAGTACGTCAGGTTTTTAAGATTAAGAGAAGTTTCCGAAATGATGGAGCAAAACGGACTTCAGATTCGTGTTCAGCGAATGCTGAAATATCTATATAGTATGTTCAAAAGAAGCTTTCATCGGCTGTTTTTTGTGGTTTTGTGAAATTTTAGTTTTGAGGCAATTTGAGACTAAACGTGATTTAGAAAAGTTTTGCAAACAACTAATATGTTTTCTTTTCTTTACAAAAAAGCACCAACAAGGTCATCTCTATACTTTTAACAATAGTCGTGATAACGGTAAACATCTACTTTGTTGTTGTACAAGTACAAACGGCGTCCTTGGAAGGTGGCTTTGTAGCATTAGTTTGTGAGTATTGATTTTATTTATTTTTATTTTAAATTAAAAATTGTTTTTTAAATTATGATCAAAAATCTTTCGCAGGTATAGTTGCCATTTTATATTTGCTTTTTAACCTTTACCTTGTGATACACATGATTGCGTGCATGGGCAATCGAAGGTTCGTGGATAATCGGGTAAGTGAAACAACTTAAGGAGACTATAAGCCTGGGGCTATTCCGCGTATCAGAAACTGTGTACATATATGTACCACATAATGTTCTGATATATCCAACCTTGACGAGCTTTGCAACATACTCGAAATCAATCAAACTGTATTTCCTTAAAAATGAATTTCAACTTATCGCTGAAACAGACTTAAAACTTTTCCTGATGGGCTTTAAATATTGACAGTTTTATCTCGTGAAGTTATAACATTTATTTACATACGTATTTAGTCACGAACTGCAATACAGCATAGTTGACTAAAGCCTCAGCGCAAGTGATAAGATTTTTTAGTACTTTGGGCATTGTTTCCAACCGATATACATACGTATAAATATATTTTTTTATAACTTTGCCACTTTAATTATCATTACAGTTGCTGCTTCATTGCTTTTGTTCTTGCGGCCATTGAATCATACCAAAATAAGAAGATAATATATTATATATCGCATATCCCCTTGTCAATCTCAATTCCTTCAGGCAGTTGATGTTTTTAGTACCAGTAAATTATCAATTGAGTGTGATTTTATTTATCAGTGTACAATCTACAAATGTATCCACATACATATGTACATATATATATGAGACTGTTGGCCAACAAAAAACTTGCTAGTCTACTATGTCTTAAGTAGTCATTCATAACAATTTACTAGATTTTGTGTCCGCGCGTCTGTCATACATCTTTTGCTGGCGGGTACGGTGATGACTGCTAACTGTCAAGTGGCCACATTAAGTTGAATTCGACTGGTAAGTCGCACTTGTCTCCCACCTAGAAACAGGGGACCACCTCAGGTGTTCAGAAATTTCGTAAGGTGATCGATTTGGTGATTATGTGAGAAGAATAAATTAACGGTATTAATTAATTTCTATATATGTATAAGAAATGAGTCGCTTATATTTTTTGCTTAAAAATTACTACTACTACAGCTGTCTTTACATGTGTCCATTTCTATCGACTGGAAAATCGAATGAGAAATCGACTAATCAAAGCGTTTGCATTTTACGATTGAATTGGAATTTATGCGGGTCGATTTAGGTAGAACGATAAGAATCGGCCAGAGAATCGAGCCGTGTAAAGGCAGCTTAACAGACCCATGGGGAAAATGCACTAGGCTTCTGCAGGCCTCTATTCAAATGCATAATCGAACCACCGATAATCTCAAGTATTTATAAAAAGGTACTCGTACTTTGTCATTAGTCTATGTTATTAAATCAAGAGTAAATTCCACGAAAACAACATTGCCAATAGATAGGCGCAAAAATCTACCCACGCCAATTGCAAAACCCTTTAACAGCATAAAAATTATTCCTCGATATTATTTGGCAAATGTATCGTAGCTTGGTTAAAAGATTGTCGTATCTGACTTTCGGCAGGTTTTGGGAAATCGCGATTAAAGTTTGGAATGCAATTTCTCAGAAACATGACTATAGATTTTTTCCCAAGTTTCGGAAAATGTTACTAGTTTACGAAATTCTTTAATAATTTTATTCTTATTGTTCATTCTTAATGAATTTTGAGTTTATGATGGATTTTCTTTAGCAAAATTTTGTCATATGCTACATTTGTTAACAATTTTGCAGCCACTTTGTATGACATACCACAAAATGTGATGAAAATTTCTGCTAAAATAACGCTGCTTTTTACTCAATATCTCGGAAACTAAAGAAGATATTAAAACTCGTCAAAATGGAACTTACGAAAATCTTGTATTCAGGCGGCGATATGTAGGTTCGGTTAGCTTCAGTGTCATTGACTCGACTGTTGTGGAAACGAAATCTTCTACTTCTATAGCTATTCTCTTTAACTAGAACCAGTATATATGTATAATGAAACATATCCAATCATTAGCGATATGTGTATAGTAAAAAGGGCATAAAAGAAGTTTTTATTATAATGTTCTTTAGACGAATATATCTGAAGAGTTTTGGTATCGGCAAAGGCTTATAAACACTTGTCTAAGTAAGGTATATCAAGAGCGCGTTACCTTCAAGTGCCTGCCATCGAGGTTACTTTACAACTACAATATATTGATGTATTTTTCTTCCTCCAAGTATCGAACTATTTAGAAAAATCACCATCATTGTGTTTGCATAAAAAATGTTCCACAAATGCTCACCGCGAAGTGTCTCAACTCAAACGGTTGTAGTGCTTGTAAATGGGAACCTTTTTGAATTCAATAGTTCAATAAAACATCTTCAGACGTTTGCAAGCAAATTCAGCTAAACGCCATAAAAAATGTACCGCCGTTCAAAAAAAAAAATATATATATATATAACCTCTTCGTTAGTAAAAACTCAAACCAAACGGCTTACAAATACCCGTGACGACAATACAAATTTGAACTTTTAAAAATGCAACACCTAGTCTTATAGCCACTTTATTCGAGTTAAACGATTTTTTTTTTTGTTAAAAAGATTATATTAAAGTCCTTCCTTTTTGAAGAATCTCTTTTAAATTAATATTTATTTCTCGCTATAAGCTGTCAAGGTTGTATGCCAGATGTAATTTAAACCATAAGTCATTGATATTAACATATTTAATCTCTTTTTTATTCTTACTGCGCTTGCACACATAGTGGGTCCAGAGATTTGTGCTACCCAGCCAGAACAGCTTTACGATAAAGAACGTCAACTCAACCTATGCAAGGTAAGTCGGGGTTTTTACTTTCATTACTTTTGCATAAAAAAACATATATACATTTAGAAATACATATACATATATATAAGGATATTTTCAACTATTACGAGAGATTGTTAAAAAGCAAATTTGAAATGAAAAACGCACCCTTTCAAACTGCACATTTCTAGTTATACAACTAACGCGCACGAAACGCACCACTACTTCCGCTTTTACTAAAACTCTATATAAATAATTTGCTTCTAATTCTGCTGAACATCTTTATATCTAATCTTCTAAATTTAATTTTGAACTATACTCAGTTTCGCGTAATCTATGCATGAAATTATTTATACACCTGTATCTAACAACAAAAACAAATTGTTTTCTAATTTTAACAGTGCCATTTCAATAGCAGTAGCTACTAGCAAGGCAAAAAATCAGCCATTGCCTAAGACAATATCGGAAAAGGTGTCCAATTAACACAAGTTACTTACTACATATGTATATGCATATGTACAAATATGTATGAAAGCTTGTATATAATACAAACTGTTTACGTACATTTACTCACTTATTGCTTTGATTAGTCTGCTGCATTAATCTAAGGAATATATGTATAATTTGATAAGCGTAGAATGCGTGTATTTACTGGCTTGCCTGCTTAAAATAAAATCCGTCATATGAAATCTACAGGATTTTTTTTCAAAAGTATTATTTATCACAATCCATAAGTAAAAGTAGATTGATATTTTGTAGATAGATACTCAATTAACAACACTGTAATTAATTATTTAATGTTTACACACTCTTTATTTAATAACCAAATACAGTTTTTATGAGCATATAATTAAAAAAAATAATTTGTTTATATTTAAACTTAATATATTATCCTGGTTAAGTTGCCCGCTTTTGTTTGTCGTGCATCAGTTTAGCGCATTCATTCATCTGCTGCTTGGTTGATATTAAATGCTTCTGTAAATATCAGTGTGTGTATTGTCATTGCAAGCTTTGTCATGTAATCCATATTTAGTAAGTAAGTAGTTAAAGTCTTAAGTGAATTCATACCTATAGATTGTATGAAGTGCTTTTTTATATACTTCCATAAGTATGTTAGTTGATATGAAATAAAATAAGTGTTGGTACTCTCATAAGCTAACTCATCCTTTCTGTAGAAATATTGTGGGCTGATACATATATACGTATATAATTAATTTGAAAACAATCGTCTGACAAACATTTTTGTATTGTGAACAATTGATACACGCGAAGCAAATTTGATAATTTCCATGAGTACCTTTTCATACATATAAGTACATTAGGCTGCATCATCAAAAAAAGATGCGGGCTTTCCTCCGGGATTACAAAATTTATTATTTATTTGCAAAGAAATAAAAGGCGTGAGAAAATGCTTTTCGAATAATATCTCGCAAGTCTAAATCGGTATAGTTTTGGCTGAGTTATTCAAGTTTTTCTAAAACTTATCTCTAAAAAAAGACCAAAAACAGCACCAAAAATCTAATTTTTAAGATTCCGTTGAAAATTGTTTTTAATGTTTTTACGGAAAAACAGTACCGATTATTTTTTGTATGAGGAGTGATGTAGTCTAATATACATACATACATAACTGACTGTTGCAGATTTACGAAAAAAGTTATAATTAGTGTAAACACCAGGGACTGTAGCGGTTTTTGATCTTTACAACAAAAGTAAAAATTTTAACCATTAAAACTTAGGTTTCTCTTTTTCCAATCAAATTTAACTGTTATTCTATTATTTTTATTTTTCGGCATTTTCCTATTATATCAAGGAAATAGACCAAACCATAATCGGTGTTTTAAGATTTAATCTTTTTAAGATAAAAAAGATTTAAAAAGGTTATAAAACCGTAGTCATAATGGGGATGGTTAAAAACTAACAAAAAAAATCAAAATAACGATTATTTTTGATCGGAGAAAATGAAAATTAAAAAATAACGGTTGAATTTGACTGAAAAAACAAAAATTCAAATTTAACGATTACTATTCGTCGAAACTTGGTAGCGATTTTGAATGATCTAAAAATTAAAATCTTGATGTTTAACTGCAGTTTTCGATCCAGTGTTTATATGCGACATATCGTTCCCTTTGCTTTTTTTTTTTGTCAAAATCTAGTTTTCTAGGACAGTCGGTAGATTACTCATTAAAATTTCACTAGAACTTAAAATAACTTCTACAGAATAAAATTCTTTAATAAAATAAGACGTTTAAAATGAATTCGGAGCTAAAGAATCTAGATTTTCTATTTTTTATATAGTTTTTTTTAACCACGCCGTTTAAAACTACAAAATTTCTAGACAGGACCTCTCATGTTGAGGTAACGATATGTGCATTGGATCATAAGCAACTATAAATTGTTATGTATTTGATGATTACATAAATATCCGTGGTGTCAGGCATAAAAAAATAAAAGCTTTATTTAAATGGAATTATTAAAAAAAAAATGTTCTTGGCTACGATTACTCGTTTCCAAGGTAAAACGCAGCAAGAATTTTAGAACGAGAAAATAAAACTTGAGATGTCCCAGCGTTAAAATCGGTTTATATTGAAACTAAATTTAAGCCGAGACGTCGGAAATTGGTTCCACGATACATCAAACCGGGAATAAGAAAAACTTTCTCAAATGTTGAAATTTAACAACGAAAAAGTAAATCACTGACTGACTGAATTTCAACCTCCACCAATTTGAATTCAAAGCGAATTAGACTGAAATTCACTCCGGAGTGAATGTCAGAACCTGCCTGTATATCTCTTTTTTTAAAAAAAAGGTAGTGAAGCTATCATTTTTATCCCTAACACCAAAGATGTGTACATTAGGCCGTAACACCCTGTAAAAATTGCTAAATCGGTTTTTTTGTTCAACTTTTTTAGCTTGATGCCCGCTTTCCGATTTTGCTGTCTTTACAGGGTGTCGGAAAAAAGAATGTTTACTCTCCTGAAATAAATTCATAGTGAGTGTTCTAACTGGCCGTCTTCACAGGATAAACTTTATTGCTGTCCAGTTGTCATTTTGGTCGCTAGATATAAGTTATATCAGTGGCAATATTTGTGTGAGCTTTTTATATCTTGATATAAGCGTTTGTGAAATAGCTTCGAAGTCGTATTTTTTCCGGAAACCAAGGAACAAATTGAATGTTTTTTTTTGTGATATGGTATAATGTAGGGACATATGTATGCTTTTGTCTGTTTTTCAAACAAATATACATATTATATAGTTAAGCTTATAAATAAGTACCTAAATATATTTAGGGGATTCACAAGACGTGTTAACCGTCGTAAAATCTTAAGCTTAACACTTGTTTATGTAAAATAGCGGTTAAAATGGTTGGGGGGTTGGCTAATTATATATTCTTTATCAGTTTAACAGAATTTCGGTTTAGTTAGAAATCCCCTAAAACCATTTTAATTAAAAAAGATGTTAACCTTAAGATTTTACGACGGTTAACACGTCTTGTGAATCCCCTAATTATGTTTACGTAGATAAATATGAATTTCTTGTGAACCTGCTACATACACACATACACACATATGCACATTAAGATACCTCACTCAAAAATTTGCACTTAAGGAACAAATAACTTTTCAAAATAAGTATACGCGTTTGTAAGGTAACTTTTGGCAATTTTATTTCAACTTTATATTTTATTTTATAAAAACTTGGATAACTCCCAGTAGAGAGTTTTTAAGTTTTTTAATCGAGTTTAAATTTTTTAATATACAGCTTAATAACTTTGCACGAGACATTGCTTTAACGCCTCGCTCCTAATTAAAAACACAATTATTTAGGAAGAGCGTAATTAGTATTTTAATAATTTTTTTTTCTTTTCGATTTTGCAAAACTAAAATTATTAAAATATTTGAAAAATATTTTTTTTCGTTTTTAGATTTTTTTTCTCAGGTAAAAAATTTCATAAAAATCAGATTATTCTTATGATCGAACTTAAAACATCCTATATGCATGTCAATAGCAGCGCGCTAACTATTCTGCTATCAAAGAGATTTGCTGAAGTGCCCGATATCCATTTTTAGCAATCCAATCTAAAGCTCCTTTAATGAAAGCACTTGTTAGGTGGCTATTAAAAAGTGCGAAGCTTTTACTTTTTGTGATATGTATGCATGTGTATACACATGTAGGTATATATGTATGTATGCATATCGGAGACTACACGCTAATCACATTAATTATAGACTTGGTTGGAATGATAGCAATGCTCATATGATATAAGAAATTGGTCGAGATTATCGACTTGGCACTGATAGCACAGTCATTAGCGTCTACGTCCATCGTTCAGTATCATAGGCCGTGAGTTCGATAACGAGTTCAAAGCCCAGTACATTTTTGTTTTTGTTTTTTTTTATTTTACCTTTTTTTTTATTTCAAACTTTTTTTTTATGTACATACTGGAATCTAATTAATATCCGACCCAACTCAATGGCATTAAATCCAAGTTATTTTTATTGATGTAAATATGTTACTGCAAATGAATGCAATCAAGTCACATACGCTATTAAAATCTGTAATTACTCTCGATCATCTACATTTAAGCGGCTTTTCTTTTGAAGAGGGATACAAGTTTTATGACAAAATGTTTGATGTAATCTATTAGCGCTGAGTTCTACTCTTTAGGTGTTAATAATCTGGTGATTAAAGTTAATTCATTAATTATCGCCATAAGTTAACGGCGGGTAACCATAAATTAACATTAGCAGTTCAACTAAATATGTCACTTATGCAGTTTTTAAAATAGGTTAAATGAGTTGAGAAATAAATATATATATATTATGAGTCCACTCATATGATATACGTACATGGTGGCTCTATGTGATTTAATGAAGCAATGCAAAGATTTGGTATTCGATCTTCAGTGCTGATAGTTAGCTTTCCGTATGTTTTAGAAGGTCGTTCACTCTTGACAAAATATAAATAACGCCGAGCAGTCCCTCAATCCAAAAGCTTTTCAGTTGAAATTTTGATTTTAAATAAACCGATATCTGCTCAGATTTGTTCTAATCTGTAGGCCATTTGAGCATTGTGTTGGAAAGTACCTTTAACGTTCTATTCAGTTAACTCAATATAGGTATGGCAAAAGTCGTTGCCAAGCCACTTAGTGAATACCCCTTATGTCTCGTTAGAAAAGTATAATTCCAAGAAAGTTCAACGTAACCGCTTTTTTCTCTGCAACGATTCATTTATTATTATTGCTTTTTTTTGAAAGAGGGCTCTCTAAATTTTCTGTAATTTCTAGGGAAGATATTCTTAACAGCTGGTTTCTTTGACAGCGTTCGACGCATACAGTGAGGAACAAAAGTATTGGCACAGTGTATTTTTGGCAATATATGCAACGTTTTTTATTCTTATTTATTTTCGAGAGTTTGTTATAAAAATATGGTTCATACTCCACAAAAGAACGCAAAAATAAAATCTTTACACTTTAAGCAAAACTCAAAAAAATTCATTAAATTTGCAATTTTTATTCAGATTTCTAAGAAAAATTCTAAGCATGCAGTTTTATAGCCCATTCAATAATTTAAGAAGGTGCAAGTTTAAAGTTGCTGGAAAATCGCGTTGAATTTTGGCAATTATTTTCACGAATTTTTCTAAAAAATCTGAAGAAATAGTTGCAAATAAGTATGCAAAGTTTAGTGATTAATTTAGTGATTTTATTTTTATGGTTTTTTGGTGTAGTATGAACCATAATTTTATAAAAAGATAATGAAAATAAATTAGGATAAAAAACTTTGCATATATTGCGAAAAATTCCTGCGCCAAAACTTTTGTTCCTCACTGTATATGTCATAATTCTATATACATATGTAGCTAGTACATACATTCAGAGTACATTTCAAAATTCTGGAGCGGTTTAACGAATTCTTATTGAAAAACGAGTCACATGACTAATAAAAAAAAAAACACAATACAGTAAACCTTGCTTAAGTACCTCACGAAAAATGTAAGCTTTTTGAGGTACTTAGGCGGGTTGGGTACTTAAAAGAACCCGCTTAAGTACCTCAATAATTAAATTAAAAAGTCATTGATTACACATATTTGTACATACACACAAACAGGGCATATCATTTTGGGCCGAATTTAAAATGATATTTTTTGCCAGTTGTGTTAATATTTTAATTTTTAAAATTTTTCAATTAAAAAAAATTCATTCTCTAACAAATACCATACAAACTCATACCCAAATTCATAAAAACTAAAGAACACTTTAACTGCTTTATAAATCGAAATTTTGTATGAAAATATCACTTTATAGAGCTCTTTAAACCTATTTTATTTTTTATGAATAAGGCCATTAAAATATAAGCTTAGCTTTGCAGAACACTGAAAAAAAATCATCAAAATTTCAAACTTGTTTTTCAGAAGTGTTAAAATTTTTTATGAGTATGCCGTTTAATAGCCTATTCAAATTTTTTCA